TCGGCGCCGCGCGTTTACATACCTCGGTGTTTTTCTGGCGTCAGTAAAAGTGCTTCCTCAATGCATGCTCTGGGCCTGTGTTAGCTCGCCAGCAACTCGCTACTCGGCGCCGCGCGTTTACATACCTCGGTGTTTTCTCTGGCGTCAGCAAAAGTGGAGGGTCCAGCCCACGTCCTAATGTTTATCGGCGTCATCCTGGACACCCGCCGCGCTAACATCAGTATGCCTATGGACGAACTTGCCGAGCTTCGTGATCTCCTTCGGGCCACTCTTCACACAGCTTCAACTACCCAATGTCAACTCGAGTCTCTTCTGGGAAAGCTCCCGTTTGCTACAAGAGTGATAGCCCCTGGATGCAATTTGCAGATTGTGGTCACTTGCCAACTGGTACCGGCAGCCGTGTTACCTGATCAAGCTCTCCAAAGAGTGCCTCAAAGATCTTCGCTGATGGCCTGAGCTCCTGGATTAGCGGAACGGCCGGTCCTTCTTCCTACACCCTAAATGGACGCCGTCCCCCGACTTGCTGGTATTCACTGATGCAAGTGGTGCACTTGGCCGGTGCTCGTACAATTGCGACCGGGGATAGGGCGATGGACAGTCAATCAAGCAGAGCAGCAATCGCAAAGGTTTGTTTGCAATTGTGGCAGCCCGCAGCACCTGGGAAAACTAGCGCCATCAGCTGCGAATGCCAATCGATGGGCATTTACAGCAACTGCGAGGATATTGCTCATCAGTTGTGGCTTTGGCCTGGCGTTGTACACCGGCCACTCGTTTCGAATCAGCTGCGGGACTCGATATTCAGAGAGGCGGGAAGGTGGAAAGCGATGTCTGCCCGAGTAACATTCGGACGCCACCTGCAGCCAAAGTATGGGTGGCTGCGGCAATGGCCTCAGCCCATGATATCAAGTTCTGACAGTCTTGACCTAGCTTGCACCACTTACAGATTGCACGGGTAGCTGCACTTTGTGATCCGCTCCGGGAGTGCCGATTTATGGAATATATGCTCTCAACTGGTTATGCATACCAATATATTAGCATTTGGAGGCTCTACTCAGAGTCATTGGCGGCTCTACTCAGAGTCATTGGCGGCTCTACTCAGAGTCATTGGCGGCTCCATGCGGAGTCATTGGCCGCTTCATGTGGAGTCATTGGCGGCTCCATGCGGAGTCATTGGCGGCTCCAAGCGGAGTCATTGGCGGCCCCATGCGGAGTCATTGGCGGCTCCATGCGGAGTCAATTTGCGGCTCCATGCGGGGTCATTTGGCGGCTCCATGCGGGGTCATTCGGCGGCTCCATGCAGAGTCATTCGGCGGCTCCATGCGAAGTCATTCTGTGGCTCCATGCGGAGTCATTTGACGGCTCCAAGCCGAGTCATTTGCCGGCTCAGCTGCGAGCCATCTAGTGGCTCCAAGCAGAGCCATCATACCAGTTGCTCGAATCGGCACTCCCAGCTTAATCCAAAACTCGGTTGCTCTGTTGTGAGGTGGGGGGATGCTAACCTAGGAATGGGTTTGCTCCCCACACTGGAGCTCGCGCTATTCCGTCGACTTGACACTTGACGGACTCACGACTGCCATCCAGAGTCGCCACCACTATTTCTAAACCATACGGCTAATTATTTTAGTTAGCTATCCACTTACCGGCACAGTAAAACCTGTGACTATATACCACCCCTTGGTGCCAGCAAAAGCGGTCTTTAGTAGCAGGTGGTCTTTAGTTAGAGGTTTGCACCGCGTGACCATATGTGGATCCCATTATATGATATGTATGTCAAAATGCAGCTAATACAATTCCCCAGGACTTGCGCAATGTCAGAAAGACAGAGAGATGGAGAGAGAGAGAGAGAGAAGATTACTTTTTTGCAGACTTCAAATTCAGCTGCTACTTCTGAAGCCAGGAGTCAAACGTTCCCTGGGGAAGTTTCGTTTCGCGCTGGGCTTCAAATTTGTTCATGCGATCAATCATACCGACTGTCCTTGTTGTGACTTCTCGATTGCTTGAACGCGATCCTTCAGCATCAGGACCTTGTGGTGCTGCTTTGTTTCTAGATTCCTTGATGCCATCGTCGATCCGTCTGTATGACTGGGGTGACAGAGCCGCCCAGTCTTCGTTTCTCCTCCGAGTAGTAACATCGATCAGAGAGCGCTTTCGATGCGCTCTCCAAGACGTTTCCTATCATGTTTTTTCTCGACAGCGCTTGAAATTTTGACAGGTGTAGTGCAGTCCACACCGACTCCACAGCCCAAATTACCTGCATTCATTTGTTCAGCTGTAGTATCGAAAGATTCTTTTCAGGACCATGGAAAATCAGTAAAATTTCAAGAAGGAGCTTCGAGCAACATTTGATTTCCTACATCGCGGTCGCTAGTTACGGGTCAAAAATTGTGTTTGGGACAGGAAAAGGCGGTCGCTGGTCGCGTTCAGAAGGTAGTCGCTAGTCACAGTGCATTTTGAATGTGAGACCTTCCGTGCCTGGCGAAGTGGCTGGTAGTACCAGGCTGGTCGCTAGTGACGGTGGTCTTTAGTTACAGGTTTTACTGTATATCCCTTACCGAAATTGTATTCTTGAGCGCAATATTCTTCTTTCTTTTTCTTCTACTCCGTTCCATCAGCACTCGGCCGATGGCAGGAGATTGGTACCCACTGGACTAGCATGCAGCAGCCAAAGCTGGGGCCTTTTCTTACTCCGTCAAACCCACTTCTTAAAACGAAACTGACGTGCATATTCACATTGCATGTTGTGAATGTCCCCATATTTGCCCCGACATCTTAGCTCGTACAGCGCTCCAGATACATCTATGCTACGGTGCGCACCGCATACTCGAATTACGGTACGGGACACATACGGGATACTGCACCAACCATGGCATGCCATGTGAACCACCCTACCAGGCACCGTGACACGCACCGAATTACAGCGGTGTGGATACTGGCTAGAGCCAGATGCTACTAAAGTACAACTGAATAGCGTCTTTTGCATAGGTACGGGAATAATCTCATATCCCAAGCATTGCAGCTCTGCTAATAGAATAATTCAGGTTACTCCCACTCCATTTCTCTAGTGCTTATTTTTCTGAAAAAATATCATCTTTGGCACCAGAATGCTGCCACCAAGAGTACATTAACCAGAGTGTGCATCCCAAAGAGAATCATCCCACGGCAAAGTTTATTGTTTAGGGCATAGACTCGCAATAACAGGCTCACCTTTGCTGCATCTCACACCGCTTCACACGGTCATCTACTCTATCACCATGGTAATTTCTGTGGCACATTGCTGCTTTTTTAACAAAAACGTAGAAAACACACCGAATTTCCAGGTAATTACCATGGTGATACGGTACTTTAGCTTGAACCTATTGTATGCAGCCTGTCAGTGGCGGTATACCCTCGAAGTATAAAAAAGTATAGTACTCGACAGGACTTCCGACCGGGTCGCAGGTAACCCAGTGTTCTTTTTCCAAAAGGTCCAAGTACTCACAAACAGGGCCACTGACCTGGCTCTGGAGCAGACACTGGTAATCTAGGTCCAAGTTTGCTCCATTATGTTCTGACGCTTCATGTGCTTTCATAGCCAAGGTTTCTCACTTTCTTCGCAAGCTCTTTTAGTCTTGAGAGTTGACAACTGCTTATGGTTGTGTTGGCAGAAAACATGTCAGCTAATCTGACAACCGTCCAACCCCATTTTACTGGTAAGTAGTCAGCGAGTGGCTTTGATGGGGCCATACTATATTTGTGCTTCCTTTTTGAAAACACGTTCTCGCTCGAAGGGTTTCTAAACTTTATCCCTGCGCTCATTGATGAAGTTCATCAATGGAGTTGCCAGCGGCACTCTACAGAAGAACAATGTTGTCAAGTTTTTTATGAAAAATTGTCAAACATTTTCAAATTGCTATAAATTTGGTTAGGGTCGGGTTCCACTGCAGCTCCGCAGCTCCGCTGCTCCACGATACTTGGCTGCATGCAGCAGAGCGGCGTGGTTCCAGTGACACTCGCCATTCACGGTACCGCGATCGTGCTCGACGTTTTTTGATGACATTTAGCCTGCGCGCGCGTGAAATCCAAAAAAATCCTCGTGTTCTGGCCTGTGCAACGAATTAAAATTCCCCCGAATAAAACAATTAAGTGCGGGAAACAATGCAAGCCGTGACCGCGGCTTGCATTTTCTATATCAAGCAGCGAAGCGAAAGCTGGTGATGAGCCGCGGCCTCGCTGGACCAGCTCGTAATGATGACGTTTCATGCCGTGGATGATGTGCGGCGGAGCGGCAGTGGAACCCAGCCCTTAGGCAAAGGAAATTTGTCATTAATTTGTTTATGCTGCAGAGATGGAGAGCTGCACACTCTGGCTTATGGACTCTCGCCTACAGTGTAGTCGTACTGCTAGTGTACTGGCATTACAGAAGACACGAAAAACGAGAACATAATTATGGCGAGAAAGTAATTACTGGCTAAGAATTGCCCTAAGACTTACCGCTTCTCAGTGCTCCATACCAGGAAGTAGTACAATACCTACTCCCTGCTCCATACGAGTGTTTTCTCCTCATTCTCTGCATCCTTTACCCCAGGAGTCTCGTCCATTTAGCGGCTCAAATGCTTGAGCTCCGGATAGCGGAAAATAGCTCGTCGTCCATTAGCGGCTCTAATAGTACCTGGTCTGAAGTGTCGCAGTCTAGCAACTATG